GTTCCAGCCAAAACCGTTTTCCCGCCCAGTGGAAATTACGGTTGAATCCGCCTATAAAAAAATTTTTTAAAAAGTTCGCAAAATATATTTAAAAAAGTCGCACAAAGTTCGTATACTTCAAAACGGCTCAACTTGTTTTTAAAACCGCTTCGGCCACAGCCAGTGTCTGCGGTTACAATAAAAATTCTTAAAATCAATACGATTTCTACAATGCAGAAAGGAATCCTGATTTTGGACTTCTAAGCTGGACAGGGTGACACAGTACCGTTTCTGATACTATTTGCTGTAAGAATCAAAGAGACAAGTCTTTAAATGCTTAAACATGTGATAATCTGTTGGAAACAAGCCTGAGCAGCGCAGTAGTTTCAATTACCACACGTTTGGTTTTTATAGCAAACACATTTTTAACTGCAATAATGAACCTGTACTCCAAACCGTTTTTTTTTTTGCCTTTGCTGAATTCAACTTCACAAATCTCTTTGAAAGATTTCTGGTTTGGCGCTGTAAAATAGCTATTCTGTGCACCACTCTTGGAGTCCTCATTTCCAGAAAACTGATCTTTCAAACAACGTTCCTCGTATTATTTTGGAAAAGGTTTCAAAAGCAGAAAAAATTTTTTTTAACGTTTTTGGTCTTTTATTAAGCTGAGTGATCAGATACTAACTACTGCGCAGCTGTCACCAGATTCCATGAAAAGAAGTTAATCCGTAAACCCCGAAGAAACTTCAGAGAAGGAAACATACAGACAACTATTAAAAAAGTAAAAAGTTGGAACATGAAATGGTAGATGATGGTAGATGATCGAGGAACTGTACAGAAGTAATGCGCCACTGGCGCTATTCCAACTTTGCAGAATATTGTACTGCAGCGTAACATTAAAATAATTTTTCACAAATTTCATGCGGCGGGTTGAAGTAGCTGTCAGTGGTCACTTTTGTGATTCAGCGGGGTGGATTTTTCCAGCTGCTTTCGTGTGAGAGAGTTAGGTGTAGTGGGAAGTTTAAAAGTTTCAGTTTTTTGATGGATTCTCAGCGTTTATGATCTGCCTTATGTCCTGTTAAAAAAAGTTCTCGTAAACTTCATACGATAGTGTACCCAAATATCCTACAAAATGATTTTGGGAACTTCACTCTGTAATTAATGTTTTTTGCCGCAGTTTCGCTGGCTAATGACAACTTTTAGGCGTCTTGTTCTTATCCGTTTAAGAGGTGGCTGAGACTTAAATTCTAAAATTGTTTCTGTTGTACAAGAAGTATTGGTGTATCATTAGAGAATTATTTACAGAACATGGGTTTTACTTGTCGTATTCTAATGGTCCAACGAGTAGATGATTACAAATAGCCCTCGGGATCTCTTGTGAAGCTTCTTACTCTTTAATACACTTTTGTAAACTGCTGTTAAATGACGGACAGTGGAGAAACGACGTCTTATGAGAAGAAACACAAGTACAAATTACTGTGTGGTATTGCAAGCTGCATCAAAGAAAACAATTTATTATATTTAATAAACTACTTGAGTAATAGTATTGCACGCTCTTCTCACTAGAAATTTGGTGTAGAGGATATCAGAAATAATGTTTTTCAAAATTCTTTACTGAAATCAAGTTTTTATTAAGGGTTGATTTAAGTCTTATAAAGCGCTTTAATGATGCCGTTTTGGAAGTAAAGGGTGCTTCCGTTCATGACGAATTGTTGTCACAGTCTCAAACAATTGAAATACAACTTGATGAAGATCCTGATTACTATGCCAACCAGTCGACTCCGGTTAGTACACTTTTCAAAAATCGATAGGTTGTGGATTTCTTAGAGATGATGGCGATTTATCGAATTCCGTTTAATTTTTTGATTTTTCAGGTTTTGCATGAATTGGATGCAGAGATTCTCGACTTTTATGACGCCCCTCCTTCAGCCGCTGAAGTTCGACCGCGTGCAGCAAAAGGTGTTTGTATTCGGCATTTATCGGAATTTGTTTTGAGGCAGTTTGAAACGTTTCTAGGTCCACCTTCTATGGGAACAATGTATAACTGGGAGTATCTTGCCGCAAAGATGGGATTGACAGCGAGCGAAATTGTGGTTTGTTGGTTTTGATCATTTATGTGTCTTTTTGTGATACTTCTAAACTTGAATGGTGTCATTCTCTAGGTCTTTGAATGCCATTGTTTTTATTTTTAGTACTTGAGGACACAGAGGAATCCAACGTTAGAAGTACTTGAGCGATTTTCCTCTCGTCCACTTGATGAGTTATTAGACATTACGTGTGATCTTGGTCGCATAGACTTACTTTTATCTGTGCGTGAGCACATCAATGAAAGCAATCCAGCAGTCCCATCTCGAAGCCAAGCAACAGATTCAGGTCAGGCTAAAAATTTTAAGGTTTTTAACGGGTTCTAATCAAAGTCAAGTAATTTTCTCCTGCAAAAGAGGTAAGACGGATGACCCATCTTCTCTTCAAGTCATTCACTTGAATTTTGTTCACGCTTAAGGAGTTTGTTGTAGGTGTTGCTGGAAGTTTTATTACTTCGTCATCGTTGGACACGGTTAATTTTAATGCGGGAGATAGGAGTATCTCACTTTCCTTAACTATTCCAAATAGACAAAAATGTAAGTCTTTTAATTGCTCAAAATAGTATTTTTGAAGAATATTGAAGAAATCTATCATATTATTTTTGCTTCAGTCGGAAATAATTTTAGTTATCCTCGTCGTTCATCACGAGAAGAAGAATAGTACTGATTTGAAGAAAAACTTTTCGTGGCTAATGAAAAATCTCAGGTTTTGGATTTATTTTATTTTATTTTGTTTTTTTAAGAAGTACCTCTCTTGCATTCGTTAATGGTTAGTTTTTCTACATATTTAATACAAATTCTACTTTCAGGAAATATGCGGGGCAGGAAGGTTTTGAGCTTTTTGATATTGAATGCTGCTTTGATGACACCAACCTGATAGGAACAATAAATGCAGTATTTAGAGACGTCAGGATTTATTGTTTTTTTTTTCGCTGGTATAAAGTTTTTTCGCAGAAACTGTTTTAGTAAGAATAATAGTTTTTGGAAGAATACAGACTTTTTTCAAAAATTCCGCTTGTTACTGCTTCAGGCTCTTCATATAATCTTTGTGTTCTCTGAGGACTTCTTAGAGTTATTACAATCTGAGACTGATCGTTCTTTAAAAAGGTACATTTACGATCTATCTAATGGTGAATATGCACAGACGTTGTGTAATAGAAGGTTTCGCCCTGTCGTCTTTGAGGTTGGTTTTTTATGGAAGATTTAGGTAAATTGTTTTTGTACTGTTGGTAAATTTTTTAAAACTTGCTACAGATGAAAATGGCTTTGATGATAAGAAACCAGTTTGACCACACCAACTTTAAGTATTTTCTTTTAATCCCAAGGTGGACAAGTTATCTGGTTATGAACGTATTACTTGTCGTCATTCACTGTTAAAGTCACTTCACTTGTTTTTATAAAGGGGATGTGGGTTTGTGGTTTTAATGTTGTTCGTCTTCTAGTTGTGTTACTTTCAGGGGAAAGATCCAAGAGTTCTACCTATTGGGTGGCCAACTAATACTATAGTTTACGAGTTCCCAACCATGTTTAGTAAATTGTGCGTAAGAATATTTAAATAACTTACTACTTGTTTCTCTCCGTCTGTAATTGATGTAAATCATTTAATTATTTTGCCAGTAATGTTTGTACATAAGAATAGTATTCTGATTCATTTTTCTTCGTTAGATTTCGGTAGGGTAAAACACCGTTTCAGTCTCAACAGATTTCTCATATTTTTACTTGATAGAAAAGGCAGTGCAGTCGACAGGGATTTGTTTTTTCAATATAAGCAAACTCTCGTATTTCTAAAATTTGCTGTTTATTTTAAAATTTTTGTTGGTGAGGAATTTTAACGTTACAATACTTTCATTTGCTTTTTGGAGAGGTAACTTACAATATTTCACATAGACAGAAGGCTTCTTCGACTTTTAAGCTACTCAGTTTTCATGTTCAGGTCCTGCAGTGATTGTTGAACTGCCGTGGTGACTTTGTTAGTTTTTATTAAAATTTCCTCAAATTACAACTCGTTTTAGGTTTCTTATGCAATTGTATAATATTACGTTTTGATTGTTTTTTTTTTTGTGCTTTGAACAGTGAGATAGTTAGGAAGAGATTATTTACTTTGATCAGTTAATTCCTTTCGACTTCCGTCAGCACACTCCCAAAAATTCGCATACGGTAGACGGCGCCTGTCCGTAATGCATGGCGCCATAAATATCAGGACCGAGCTCTTCAATGACCGGATAACATGATCCGGAGAAACTTCCCATGCTTTCACACTGTTTTTCTCCTTGTTTAATACATTCATCCTGCAAAATTTTTACTTGGGTTTTTAAAATGATGAATTTTGTAGAAGTTGAGTATCTTCGCCTCATAGTTTGTGCTGAGACATCAAGAAACTCTAGCGTAAGCGGTGCTTGAAAGTTGAAAGTGTGGAGGTTTCTGTGTGGCTTTTTTCTGAGTAATTATTCTTTTCAAGTTAAATGTGAGTTTTTTTTTTTTTTTTTGATTTCTCTCTTCACTTTTTCCCTAAATCATTGAAGGAACGGAACACTACTGTTGATGATTTCAGTGCCGACTTCCCTAAAATTACTTTTTTTTCGGTTATTACCTGGATTTCTTTTCAAATTTAGCTAAAAGCTGGTCTAGAAATTTCTTGTATTTAAGTTGTTTACTCAAGACTGCTATTTACCTGAGTTTAAAAGCAATTTTAGACACTGACTGAGAAAGATGAGCTAGTTGAGGACGTTTAAAAGTAGAATCCGTGAAATCAGGGGTCAGGGATTGCAGTTTGCTTTTTGGCTGAGAACTTTAAAAATAGAAGGTGGAGCTTACAAGTTAGTAAAGTTGTCACTTGTCTTTATAATTTATGCAAAAGGCTTAGGCACTGGATTGTAGAACATTTCCATTAACGTCATTCTATAAGGAAGAATGGAATATGGAGTTGGGGATTAGTGGTTTTTGCTTTTAAAATTTCATTTGTTGGCAGTTTTTTCAGAAAGTATCTGCTTTGAAGGCTAATTTTCTCTTATGCACGTTTTTGACAAATTTTTGAACTTTTGCAGTTAGTTGCTTTTCTTAGTAAAAAAAATGGTTGCTGAGCAAAGTAACTTCGTTATTTTTGCACAGTGTTTGATTAATTTTTATGTTAAGCTGGCCTCAGCTTGCGGGCTAGCAGTGTTGAACACGTAAATCTTTTTGTGATGGGAATTACACGACAAATCAGTAGGCGGTCAGTGTAATTGGCAAACTGGGTGGCTGCAAGTAATATAGACTAGTAAATAATAAATCGCTTACTGAAGAAGGATAGAGTATGTTCTCTAAAAAGCAAATTTGTACTCTGAAAAATTAATTTGTACTTCATGGAATTGCGCAACGGTAATTGATTGTCAAAAGCTCAGATTTACGAAGTAGGGCATTACTAGTTATGCACTGGTTCTGATTCATCCTCTTCCTTCCTTCCATTGCCCTCAATCCTCTCTTTTCTCCGAAATGGGGTCTTTACAGAGAATTTCAACTCTATTAGTTGGCGATGCGTACTGAATTTTTTTTCTCTTTATTCTTCCGAGGACTTGCATTCTGATTCGAAGTTGGTGTCGAAGGTGAAGGCTCCTCTGTGGTTGGAGAAGCAAGAACTGATTATGTTTGTTTGATGGTCAAGGCGGGAGTATAAAAAAAGTATGGCGGTTGCTTACATATTAGTTTATCATGATAAGTCGTTTTAAAGTTGAAACCTTGATTCTGAAAGCTGAACATGTTGTAATTGAAAAAATAGAAAATTTGTTTATAGAAGTGATGGCCCTGTTGAGGGAGACCATAATCACAGCATTCTTGTTTTAGCTGTGAGTGGTTCTAGAAGGATATTCCAGCGAATTTTCAATACAGGATTCTGTATAGATCTTGTCAGGAGTGTTTTTGGTAATAGTTGTCGGACGGCATCCTAGACTTCTAGCTTTTCTAATAGGATGATTTGCGACTTGCTACTTGTTTTCATTCTTTTAAGAAGGCATTTTGCAAGTATCTTTCAGTAAAAAAGCATCGTTATTGTTTTACCTAACGTAGTTTGGAATTAAGCGGTTCCGACATAGTCATTAAAAGGGGGATCCTGCTGGTGGGAAATGATGCTGTTTAACAACTGCAAACTTTTGAAGGCAACGCACTTGAGGAATGTTTTTTAACCAGCTGCTAATTGAGTCGTGAAGAAGGAAAAAAAACCAATTGTAACGGTAACTTTCTAAGCGTTTTTTGGCTTTCAAAGACCTTACCTGTAGCTGATTGAATTATGAAGGAGGAAAGGAAACGCTGGGTGTAACAGTAACCCTTGAAGCGTCTTCTTCTTATATCAGGTATCTAGCAGCTTATTAATATTAATGGAGTAGCAACAAAAGGAATGGAAGGTAGAAGAACTAACCTTTGATAAGTTCTTGTGCTCTTCTACATAATTAGCAAATATGTGGCATATTGTGCACGTTATTACATTCACAGACTGTTTTTTCGTATCGAAGGCTGAAAGAGTTTAGGTTTTACTCAGCAATTCACGTTTTGAATTTTGATTTGCTAGTTTTAATTACTTGTTTTCCAAATAATTTCTGCTTGTTACTGCAAACAGTGAAAGTTCTTGATCATTTTTCATTTTAACGGTGACTGACGCTTGCGTCATAAATCATTTTAAGTCATCAGGAATATTATCATCTCTCTGTTTGAAGTTTGTTGCGTACAAGTTGGCTGGTTGCTTAACAGTTGGTGGGGTGAATTATCTCTACTGAAGTAGTCAGCACTGGGCTATTCTTTGCTTCAAGATGTTTAGGAAGAGAAGTTGGATTTTCGGAAATTTGTATCTAAGGGACATTACTGTGTAAGTCGTGATGAAAATTTGACTATCAGTGGTGTAGCTAAAGCTTTTCAGGGCATATTTCAAGGTCTTTTGAAAAAGTCTTTGAGTTTGGGTTTACAAAGGACTTTCACCTAATTCGCCCTTAGAATTCATTTCCTATGACAATGGAAATTAAAGACTGCTCAGTCCTTTCGGATTGGGATAGCGAATCAGACCAGGCAGGCAAGGATTGTAACTTTTAAGGTGGCAGATGACGGACGTGTTTGGTATGAAGTCTATTTCAACTATTTTATCAACTTTTTTTATTTTTTGATTATATCTGTGAAAAATAGCAGTGGGTGAGTGAAGACTTATGAAAACAATTGAAGAATTTTTGCTGAGGCATGGAAAAGTGTTAAATTCCATATATTTTTTTATTTTTTAATTTAAATTTGTTGAAGATTAAGATTTACCTCTTGTCGCGATGCAGAGCAAAAGGAGCAGCAGAAAGCCAATTCTCATGTTGTAAAATAAAGCACTAAACGGTAGCGGCCGTTCATTTTGTATGTTGATAACAGTTCAACAGCAGTAGTTTTAATGATTTACTCAGACTATCTAAAGAAAAAAAGACTGAAAAGAAGAGTAGGAAGGAAAATACGTCATTTTTATGGCGTTTTAAATCACGGAACAGTAGGTTAGGTTTACACAATATTCTAATTAACATACCCAAATCGTTCTCTCTTTACTGTCTTGTTTTTCTGTTCAGTTTTTAGAAGCCAGAGAGCTTTTACTGCAAAGACGTCATAGTGGGGTTGGTCTGCACCCATAAAATGTCAAATGTTCAAAAGCATTTGAGCAGTTGAGTTCCGGAATTTATGCTCCTTGAATGTTCTTTTGTTATCTGCTATCTTTTCAGTTGTTCAGCGTCAGGGATTCTGGAAATAATATACCGTGTCTTCTTGTCCACTAACGATTACTACTGTGTTGCCAACTTGACTACGACAGTTGAAGAGAATAATATTAGACATTCAGAAAAATATGAAAAGCTTTCTCCTAAATATGTAAAGCTTCTTTCTTTAACTTTTAACTGTTCTGCTGACAGGAAGAAAATCAGAATATTTCAAATGAATGAGATTTCACTTCGTTTTTCATGCCAAGATTTATTCGAATTGAAGGGGATCTGGGATGTTATTTTGCTTTTAGTGCCCGTCTTTAATTGATTGGCATTGGAACAGAACTCGCTACCACGTGATTTTATGATTATTGAAACACAAACTGGAACTATCCAAGTCTTGCTTATGGAAGAAGCTTTGGTGGCTAATGTTCAAAATTTGGGTTTATATAAAATATGCAAAGAAATTTATAATTTGAGAAAAGTGTTTAGAT